TCAACCTGAATAATATCAATTTTATTATCCATTTGAGCTTGCATACATTAGTCTCTTATAATTAAAGCAAGAGTCAATAGTTTCATCTTTTTTATATTTCTTTTTTATAGAGAGAGAGGAAGGGAAGAGAGAGTGAGAAAGAGAAACATTGATTTGTTGTTCCACTTATTTAGGCATTCATTGGTTGATTCCTGTTTTTTAAATTTCTTTATTGATTAAGTTATTACATATGTGTCCTTATCCCCACAAGAACAGATACTTTTATTCACTGGATCCCCAACAAGGCCATTGCTCTCATGCAGTCTGCATTTTCGAGGGAGAAAACAGGAAATAAATATGGTAAAAAACATAATTTCAGATAGCCATAAAGTCTATGAAGGAAATATGTAAGGAGGTATGTTAGTGAATGGAAGGAGCTATTTTTGTATATGGTGAGGCCAGGATGTCTCTGCTGGGTGACATTACATGTTAACTAAATGATGAGAAGAAACTGTGCAAGCAAAGAATCAAGGGGATAGAAACCAAGGTCCTAAGATGAGAAGAAGTGTGCCTTAGGGTGATTTAGGAAGCAGCCAGTGTGACTAGAGCATGCTGAGAAGGGGAACAGACGGACGAAATCAGGGAGTAGAGGGGCCAGGCACTGCAGGTCATAGCGAGGATTTCAGATCCGGCCAAGTCAATACATTGTTTAATTTTAGACTATCTTGCTTTGAAAAATACCAAGAATGCTTCCTCTCTGTAGAGTACTTGGTCCCAAACTCCTATAATAGTGAATATAGAGGGATATAGAATCCAGAAAAACCACACAATTTCTCTGAATGAAAAAGTGAATGGATGATAGACAACTTAAGAACTACTGCATTGACAACACAATCAAGAGTTAGAGTTGTTTTTTGGTTTCTTCCTTCCTCAGAACTGGAAGGAATAGGTTATCATCACCCTTATACAACTGAAGAAAGCGAGGTTTAGAAGCCATATGCACAAAAGTCCTAGCATGCAGCCCCTCCAAACATTTCCACTTAGCTCAGTCTACCTACTACTCTTGGAAACTAGTGAACAGTAAAGCGGAAGAATGCTGCTTCTGTATAGACTAGATGTATTTTCATTCCCATTTTTAACTAAAACAGCATAGCCTTTTTCTATCAAAATTCTCTCCAACTGCAGAGGTTTTACCTGTAGGATAGGAAAGCACTAAATAAAAATGTCTCATTTCCCAGAGCATGCTTTATAGTCTGTTACCACTTTCTGTCTCCCCCACCCCCCACCACCTCCCAAGCACCCATACCTGTCTCTATCCATTTTTCAGTGTATAGGTTTGTGTTAACATGACTGTTTTATTTTCACAACCAAAAGACATTAGGATCATAAAAAAGCAAATGACTAACTATAGTATTTGAAAGTTGTTTTACATTTAGAATCATTTCACGGAGACTCTGAACTAAAAAGTATCTGCTGAAACTGCTGAGCAGGCTCTCACTGCAGTCTTTGTTGTAGAACAAGGTTACAATAGAGCTTGTGTTTTGCTCCAGAAGAGAAAAGAAATCTTTGACACACGTTAGACTAAAGCATTCTGGTACATCTCCGGGACCGTCATAGAGAGCAGAGTTCTTCATGTAGAGGAGGGGTGACTTATGAGCTTCTTAAGGTTATTAGCAAAATTTTGTGTCCATACATACTTCCTCAAAGGAATCTGAGACCCACATGATGGTTAAAAACAGCTGCTTGCTGTTTCAGAATGCAGCCATTATGATTCAGCTTCCTGTGACTTAGATGTTTTCATATCTGACACTAAGAAAGTTGCATATATACATGAGGTACCTGGTCTACACTCCTCAAACTCAAAACATTCCTCCCCAGAGAGAGCTCATTAATGTCACCCACCTTTTCCAGGTAGTGGGCCTGGTCTTCCACTTATTTTATGAGCCCTCTTTTTGGAAACTATATTAATTCTTATTCCAGAATTCACTGTGCTTCTCTTACCAAGAGAGGGAAGCGATTTCTGCAAGGCACATTTGTAGGACTACACCAGGGAATGGCAACTCCCAGGCACTCCGAGGAATGGCAAGTAGCCAGGTTTGTAAATTTAGGAAACCCTATGTGAGTCTTTCACCCACTACTGCCTGAGTAAAAGACCTATATGGCACTTGGTCAAGAAAAGCAACTATTTCCCAGGTTGGAGCCATGGTAATCATCTCATCCAACTATGTGGCATTTTACACTTCCATGTGGCATCCTTGACATCATAAATTTTTTTTTTGGGGGGGGGGGGGCGGAATGACCTACATCATTTTTCTTTTGGCTTAATGAGTTTGACTTTTATTAATCACAATTATCATTATACATACACAGAAACTGGTGCTCAATAAATACTTTTTGGGAAGAAACAACATCATTAGCTATGACCTATAAGGAGCACCTTTCTTTATCTATATGTAATAATATATATATATATATATATATATCCTATCTAATAAAATAGAAACATGGTAATTAGCTGTACATCTGCTAC